TTAAAAAACACATCGTTATGCGAATTCATCGCTAAACGAGGCAATCGTTAAGCGAGGCACCACTGTACTGATAACTGCCATGTCCTTTCACCAGCAGGTGAAGGCATTTTTATATAGGCAGGCCACTGACTGATGAGGAATGATTTTTTTTTTAAATGAGTGAAGCATATACATTTTTGTTGTGTTTTTTAATGGCTTTAAGACCACGTTTTGGTGTGATAATCTATTGGGTTTCAATACTGCAGTTTATCAGGTTTTTTTTTTAAAGAGCTTTCTTTTAAAATGCACATTGTAGGCAACCTTGGGTCATCTAAAGCAGTGGTCCCCAACCTTGGGCCTCCAGATGTTCTTGGACTTCAACTCCCAGAAATCCTGGCCAACAGAGGTGGTGGTGAGGGCTTGTGGGAGCTGTAGTCCAAGAACATCTGGAGGCCCAAGGTTGGGGACCACTGATCTAAAGGAAAAGGTGGGATAGAAAATAAGTAGAATTTTTAAAAATTGTAATTTTTGTTTACGTTGAAAGAGCTATATTCTTAGTTCATTAATTATAGTCTCTTCTGTAGGAAACTTTGAATTCACCATACCTTCAATCTCTGAAGCTGTTCTCTTGTGAAAGAATATTGCTTTTGTAACAACTGGTATTTTACTTTCATACTGATTAGTTGGTGTTCCGTTTCTGCTCTACGGTCCTCCACCTATAACACATTAACAAAAAACATTGTTCAAGTTGGTTCACATATTACCTAAGATTTCATCCATTTTGAAATTAACAGTAAGTCAAAATAATTTCAATGAAAAGCTACAGATAACTGCAAATGAGGATGATTATATACCTTGGAAACAATCTGGTATGATAGTAATACAAAATCAGTCATATATCTCCACATTAACCACTATATTAGCAAAGCTTCTCTGCCAAGGAAAAAAGTAGTACTTGCTAGTTCACTACTAAACAATTAGGTTCCAGGAATTCAGGCAGAAAATTTCCCTATGAACTATTTTAAATTAACACTTTTTGCTTCAGTACCTTTTGGAGATTACATAGGACTATCCAATATTTATTTCCCTTCACGGAATGAGGCCTTGTCGTGGCAAAAGGGCTTAAGTAATTCAGAGAAGCTATGAGCTATACCGTGAAGGGACACCCAAGATGGACAGGTGGAGAGTTCTGACTAAACGTGATCCCCCCAGAGCAGGAACGGGCAAGCCACTCCAGTATCTTTGCCAAGAAAGTTCCATGGACAGAAACAAAAGGCTGAAAGATATGACGCTGGAAGAACAGCCCCTCAGGTTGGAAGGCATCCAACATGCTACTGAGGAAGAGCGGAGGACAAGGATAAGTAGCTCCAGAGCTAATGAAGTGGTTGGGCCAAAGCCGAAAGGATGCTTAGCTGCAGACATGCCTGTAAATCAAAGGAAAGTCGGATGTTGCAAAGAAAAATACTGCACAGGAACCTGGAATGTAACATCTTTGAACCTTGGGAAGCCGGATATAGTTAAACAGGAGATCGCAAGAATAAACATTGACATCCTGGGCGTCAGTGAACTAAAATGGATGGGAATGGGTGAATTTAATTCAGATGATTATCATATCTACTATTGTGGGCAAGAATCCATAGAAGAAATGGAGTAGCCCTCACAGAATGGGAAAAGCTGTCCTGGGATAACGTCTCAAAAATGATAGAATGATTTCAATATGAATCCAAGGCAGACCTTTCAACATCACAGTCATCCAAGTTTATGCACCAACTATCGATGTGGAAGAGGCTGAAATTGACCAATTCTATGAAGACTTACCACACCTTCTAGAACTGACACCAAAGAAAGATGTTCTTCTCATTCTAGGGGATTGGAATGCTAAAATAGGAAGTCAGGAGTTAAAAGGAACAACAGGCAAGTTTGGCCTTGGAGTTCAAAACAAAGCAGGGCAAAGGCTAATAGAGTTTTGTCAAGGGAACATAAACACTCTTTTCCAACAACAAAAGAGGTGACTACACATGGACATCACCAGATGGGTAATACCGAAATCAGATTGATTATATTCTCTGCGGCCAAAGATGGAGAAGCTCTATACAGTCAGCAAAAACAAGACCTGGAGCTGATTGTGGCTCTGATCACCAGCTGCTTATAGCAAAGCTCAAGCTTAAACTGAAGAAAGTAGGAAAAACCACTGGGCTAGTCATTTATAATCTAAACCAAATCAGTTATGAATATACAGTGGAAATGAAGAACAGATTTAAGGAACTAGATTTGGTGGACGGACAGAGTGCCTGAAGAACCACGGATGGAGGCTCGTAACACTGTAAGGAGGCAGCAAGAAAAAACATCCCAAAAAAAGGAAATGCAAGGAAGCAAAGTGGTTGTCCAACGACGCCTTACAAATACAGTGATGCCTCGAAAGAAGAACGCCTCATGGGACAAAAAACTCGCAAGACAAATAGTATTGGCGATGGGGTTGATGACTCGCAAGATGAATGTTCCTATGGCCATGCTTCACAAGACGAATGTATTCCGTTTTTTTGTTCCTGCCTCATGTTTGCTGATTTTTAAATGTTTTTCTATGATGTTAAAAAATGTTAAAGTTTTTTTATTGAAATTTTTGATATAATCTGCACAATATGCACGGCTTTAAAGAGCACTTAATAAACTCTTTGTAAACACAATTTTGACTTTGTTCTGACTTTTTTTGCCCATAAGAACGCATTAATTAGATTTCAATGCATTCCTATGGGAAAACGCATTTCGCAAGACAAATTTTTCACAAGACGACATTAACTGCAGAACGAATTAAAATTCGTCTTGCGAGGCACCACTGTAGCAGAGAAAAGAAAGGAAACAAAATGCAAGGGAGATAGGGAAAATTACAGAAAATTGAATGCAGACGCTTCCGGTTCCGGCTCAGCCAGGCAAGAC